CAATCACAGAGCCATTATGACCATCGACCATTTTGATACTGAATTTTTCCCTTTCATATACCAATTTTCATCGATTTAGAGTTTTCCTATCAGGTTTGATAATTTGAAAACGGTATTTAGAATAACACTGGGCGTGAAATGTTAAAAAAATTACATAGTGTTATGATCACCTTTTTAATTAAAAGAGATACCTGATCTTTAAAAGTATTTAATATTTTAAGATATAATTATAGTAAAAGCAGCCAGCCAGAAAACTACTCTTAATTCGCAGAAATATATATAGCGAGTGGAAATGTGACCGGTATAATTTTGCTTCAATTCAGTCAATTTGAAACGGAAAATATGATTTAGTATGATTAGACCTTTACAAGTAATAATAGTTTTGCACGATCCGGTTGAAAATCGTTCCAGAATCAATTCCTCTGAGATCAATATTGAATCATTTAACTATTTTCACATATTCTATTGGTTTGAAAATGCAGTGAAATGTAATCTAATTGCTCGTTTTCAGTTTAAAACACACTTCATGCTTTCTCTAATTTTTATTCATTTTTATCTTTTTATTTATAAGTTAACCCCCAGTTAGCAATTTTGCTTATGGAGGCGGGCCAATAAACTGCCCAAAATCTACTTAACTGTAGCACGGAGTAAAAACTCAAGCTAAAGAAACTAAATACTAGAAAGTATAAAAATTGAAAAACAGCTGGTAAATAAATAAATACTATAAAGTGGAGTATTTATATAAGAGTGATAGGGAACATGCAATTTTGTCAATTCGATTAAATTTTACAGTCTTCGAGTTTTGAAGGAATATTTCAACCGCAAGATAGAAATCTTAATTTTCCAGAATATCAAATAAAGATTTCTTCATTTCTTCTTTATATAATTTTTTTTATAAACCATTAGATGATGCTAATATTTATGGTTATAATGTTATTGATTTAACCTGTTCTACCAGGGTCTCTTTTCTTCCCACCAGTACTCTCCCCAGGGAACAGGAAAAGCAGAAATCATGGAAACGAGGTTAAACCTGAGCGAGGAATGCTCTGATGTCATCCAAAATGGCGGCAAGTTTGGGTTTTGCTCAGAAAAGCTCATGATAAGACTTCTGAATCTAGGCTCACCCTCAAAAGTTAAACAAGTGAACAATGAACAGTCAAGACTTAGTAGTATATATTCTGCGGCTTTTCCCCATCTAAAACCAAACCGAACAATCGAGATTACTGTTCTGAGTTATTTCTAATATCTGTTTTCTAAGTTGGTAATTATTATCAAAACATGGTTGTTTCTGTCCCAAGGAGAGAACCCGAGGTTTAAAAAGGAACGGTAATTGCATGAGGAGTACTTTTGAGATCAAAATATATACCTTTACTCATGCAATATGCAATAGCATTTATCTCAAAACACAACTTCCAGTTTTACGTATAGGAAACAAAGTTTTACGTATTGGAAACAAACTGACCAATATAAGGTAAGAACGCTTTCAGTCAATGTGTCTTGAATTACATCCGTTGAGAAAATTTACACTATGAGTAGTTTCACCAGCGTCTGCGCTTGCATTTTTAATGATCTTCACATCTTGGGCTACCGTTAGCTTAGAAAGCTAAGTGAAGGAGGCGTCTAGGATCTTATCAGTATTGTTTTATCGGCTTGTTTCTGACAAGTTCAAGTGACAGTTTTTTTTATTTAGAGTTGTACTTAGCTTATCTTTCAACTTCTGGATATTTCTGCCTCGGGAACGAAGACAATATAAATCCACTTAGCTCGAAAGCAGCTCAAGAGCATTCCTTGGTGGCAATTTAGTCTTTTTCTGCTGAAAGGGGCCTGCATGTACAGTAAACTTTAGTATGGCGTTTGAATGGATAGTTTTTGCCTTTCTAGGACAAGTAGCTGTCTTCTGCAATGTAAGTTAATGTGTTATGTGTTTTTCGATTTCACGGCGTAGGGAAATCGCTGGAGTATCGACCAGGTCAAATTTAAATGATCCCTGTAGATGAAGTTGTATGCGTTCGCAGGCATGCACGAAATGATGAAAGGTATAATTATCGGAGGACTAAAAGCTAACTAACGCTGTACATACGTTCAGATACTTTTCTGGAATTACTCACGAAGAAATCGCAATTCAAGGAGAACGAAAAACTCCACAACAACGGAGACTGAGAAATTCTAGTCTTTGGATCAACTGAAGTTTGCTTTACGTCATAACTTACTGTAACAAAGTTTTGTCCTTTGAATAAATTTTTTATTCTGTCTCTGTCGTCTGGAGTGATTCAAAAGTTTGGAATAACGATTTAAATGGGTTCTTTAAGGGCTTAGCCAAGATTGCCTATGAGAGACAAATGAGTAAAGGGGGCAAGTTTCTAAAGAAACTGGTTACTGCGTCGGTGGGAGAGTATAACAGGTAATTTAGTGTTAACAACTGAGTTGAAAACGTAAATTGATCATCGTAAAGAGTTTAAAGGCGGACGTTTCGAGCGTTAGCCCTTCGTCAATCACTCTGACGAAGGGCTAACGCTCAAAACGTTAGCTCTGAAAATCTGTACGGCGGTCAATTTACGTTTTTAACTCAGTTGTTAACACTAAATTACCTGCCTATGAGAGATACTGGTTTCCTCCATTCATCAAATGTATTTAACATCCCATTCACTGTCTTTGTCTTATTTGCAGGGAGATGTTGTGTACCATCAAACAATGACTCCATTCTGGTTAGAGTCGCACGCGTCTTACATCGACAGTCAACGCACAACAACCAATGAGCAGATCACTTTTAACGCTGGCTCGGTAAAACACGCCTTACTTCTTAAAGTTCCCATGATTCTCCCCGGTGTCGTCATGAGTAACAGCCGGCTAACCGCTGAGATAACAGTGGCCCATGACGTCACAATCGGGACCACCTCGGAAAGCGATAACAGATACGGCGTATCAGATGGCACAAACTTCATCGGATTTCATTTTCCTGATAAAGCCAGTTATTCCAACAGTGTTCCGCGCCCACCCTGCTATGGAGTAGAAGGAACTGCTGGTTCGAGTTTACACGGGTTAAGGTACATCAATCGTGTATCACCCAAACCGCAGGACTCCTTCTACCCGGGTCAAGTCGAGTTCACCATTAAGTTAGATGAGCGCTGGGGGTCGTGTTATACCGCACATGATGCAGGTTATACAAACGTGGCGAAATTTAACAAACGATTGGTGATCAGTAATGGACTTGATCTTGAAGTTTATAAAGACGAAGCATATGAAAGAGTTGGCATAAAGTACATTAAAGTCACCATTGTACAAGATGCCTAGCTTAGATCTAGCTTAATAAAAAGCGAGCAGTTCCTCCTTTTCACCGAAGTTTGTCGCGTGAGTCAAAAATATAAGTGAAAGAATCAACGTCAGCTGGCGGCGCAGAACTGTGATAGTAAGACTCACTACCTTCGTGCGCCTCACTTCCAGAGTTCAGCGCGAAGCGCTATCTTCATTTTTTTACCCCTTTTTTTTTTCAGTCGCACGATGGACTTCGGCTGAAAAGTAGAGAATGCTTGTTGTCTGGCTTAGGAAATACCACTGAACGTTTTATTTTTGACGCTTTGAATCAGTGTTGGAGTTGGGTCGCAAAGCAATAATTGTATTGTAAAAATATACTAATGAGTCTACCATGCGCTGAAAGTGTTTTCGTGTTTTAAGTACCGGAGGCTGTTTGATATTAGAAACTGTTTCGAAAAAAGCGAGACAAAAAAAAACTCAGAAGAACATCAAGGCAAGAAACTAAAGCATTGTGTCAACAGTTTCTTGTCACTTAATAAGATATTGTCCATGTATTAGAGGAACCGCATACGACACAAAAGGAGCATTTAGCTCAATGTCAATTCTAACATATGATGGCTTTCTGTAGTTACTTGAAAAAGGTTTGCTTTCAGATAAATATTTTATAGTCTTCCATAACGAGAAGGGCATCATTGTAATAAAAATGTGCAGTCGCTGGTTTTAAACGGGGCTTTTTGAGAAAAAAGTATTTCATAAATACTGAGATTTACATTGTGAAGTATACTATCATTCGTGCCTCTGATTGGACAAACGGTGTATTTTCACTGTCGTTCGTTTCTTATAGTACTTCACGGAGTAAATCTCAGTATGTATGAAATAAAAACATTATACCTTTAACAATTTTTGTTCACTCGTTGCGATGCATCAAAAAAACTCACTTGTTTGCTGCGCTCACTCTTTCGTTTTTATGATGCATTGCAACTGGTGAATAAAGATCGTTCGTGCGCACTTTCCACGGGATAATCTCTATTTATTCTAGACAAACCAGGAAGACGAGCAATATCGGTTTGGGCAGAAAGTTCGAGTATAGATTTATGTTTATGGAATGCGTGTTTAAGATAGAACTTTTCATCGGCATTTTAAGCCATATAATAGACTTTTAAGGCTTTCCATTGAGGTTCCCGAGTTTGCCACCAACAGATGACTAGCTTCGATACACTTTGTTGACGTCAGCATTTTTGATGAGCCCCGTTTTCGATCTCAATCACTTTGGATATGAGGTCTAAACATTGAAAACGATTAAAGGAGCTGTGGAGAGGGCGCCTCTGACTTAAGATTCGTAAGTACAGCGTACTAAACGCGAGATCTGTTGTATCAAGTATTCTACATTGCATCTTGACGCCACTTAAAATAACACGTCTTCCCGGCCAGTAAGTGTAAAAAATGTTATCAATATTGATTTCAAGAGCGCCACTACAGCCCTATATCATTTACTTAGTATCGGTGTTCTCATGTGGTGGAATTTTTTGGACTTATATCTGAATGGCAAAATTACCAGCTCGATGATAACAATATTGATTGAATTCCTCTTATTTCGGATTGAAAGTTACCTTTTTACATGTCGACAACTTTCATAAATTTTTACGGTGGAAAATAGAAGAGGGTATGTTAAAGAGACGTTTCCTTGTTTATGGCTTTTGGACATACAAGTTAGATTTTTCGACACATCTCTGAACCCGTGTTGTCATTTTGCAACAAAATATAGTTGATGATGTGGTTGTTGTCAAATATAAGTCAGGTTAGCATCGAGGTATGTTTGATCCACGACTTGAGATTGCATCCGGAGTATTAATGACTGGATGTGCAACTGCATTCCTCAAAACCTGATCAGCTTCTGTACATTTTGAGAGGCGATTTTGCGTGAAATCGAGAAAGGCAATCCAATGGAAATAATATGGATTATCTATGTTGCTGGTTTATTTCCTGTTTTGAGCGAAGTAAGTGCACATGTTACTACATAGGGTCAATTAGTTAGGCCAGGCATTTGTATGTCGCAAAATACGACATTGGCTTACATACATCCTGCATATATAGTAATATTAGCGACAAACCTGCCCAAGTTCTTAGCCTTATTTGATAAGTCGCTTTTAATTTGACTCATGGATTGGAAATAGCGATGCTTTCTAGTTAGGAAATCATTGAAAGATAACTTGCCTATGAGGCTTTAGAACTGACTCATAAATCATGATATGACCGAGGTTTGGAGTCATTAAGGAGTGAAGTTGTGTATGTTTAAGCAGCTAAGTCGTTTGAGTCGTCAGAAATAAACAATCTCTCTTTCGCTTGCATGATGCCTGCGACATAGTTAATTCTCGGAGTATACAGAACGCTTATAATATGTGAGCCTTGTATACCAGCGGCTTGGCGTGCAAACCATATCTTTGTCAATATAACACATGCCCGCGAAATCAGATCGTAATACAGTTAAAAACAAACCACGAGATACAAGAGTAGTTTTTCTCTTGACTTGTAAAAACAGTTAATTTCTAATTCAATTTCCTTTACAGGGAGAAATACTTTACCACCAGACCATGACTCCATCTTGGCTAGAAACGCACGCGTCCTACATTGACAACTCTCGTACGTCAACCACTGATCAAGTAACATTCAACGCAGGCTCAGTAGCTCAGAGAGCTCTCCTGAAAGTTCCCTTAATACCCCCTGGCGCTTTAAGATCTTCCACCCCGCTGACCATTGAAATTACCGTAGCAAATGACGCGAGCATTGGACAGGTTGTTGACAGTGACACCCGATATGGTGTGTCAGATGGTGCAAGATTTATTGGATTCCAAACGCGAGACAGAACAAATTACATCAACATGTATCCATGCTATGGATTGGAAGGTGTACCTGGTCAAACTTTATCCTCTCACCAATACATTTCACAAGCAACTAACAAGCCTGGTCACTCCAAGTACCCAGGTCGCTTTGTCTTCACCATAAAGTTGGATGAACGCTGGGGCTCCTGTTACACTGCGCATGACGGAGGATCCGTGAAGAACATTGGTTACAGTAACCGACTCATGCTCAGTAGGGGTCTTACATTCGAAGTCTACTCAGAGGACCGAAAGGACAGAGTTGGTATTAAGTATATCAAGGTGGTCGTCATACAAGACGTTTAGAGCTTGTAAAAGAAAATTAAAGGGAGAAAATTAATAAAATAAATCGTCATTTTAGTTCTTTTTAGCCACCTGAGTAATACTTTGATCGGTAAATTTATTACAAAAGTTGATCCAAGAGTGCAAATCGTTTTTCTCTCACTTAAGAATACATTTGAAGAACAATTTGTTTAAAAGTACAATTCTCACCTTTTACTTTTCTATACAGTAGTAAACAAAATTTTTTCGATTTTCCAGAGCTAGGTAAATGTGTGGTTACAATAACTCTTTTCCAATGAAAAAAGTAGTTGATTTGGCTCGCAATAAAAAGAAACATCGTTTATAAATATTTAAATTTACTTTCAAAACAACCATATCATTTCATTTGCATTCATTGACATAAAATGAACATATTTAAGACAAACCGTGCATTGCAAGTTTAGAGCATGAAAAATTTAGGCCACACTGCCATCTTTCTGTACATTTTGTGTTCTTCACAGATTCCACATCCCGATAAACAGAAAATTGCATCATGTACTTGATGCTCACACAAGCTATAAGGGTCTGCAAGAGAATATAAATTATTTATAGTCTCATGTGGTCTGATAAATTCAAAGCTCCCTCCTCTCGTCGCAAATCAAATACGAGCGGATCAAGACTTTGTCATGGAAGAAAGTCCACTCCTCGTCGCCAAAGTTTAATACACTGAGTTGATCCGTCTTAGTATTAAACACACGATGTTTCTCAAGGAACATGTATAATAGGCTAGGCATTATGGGTACCCAATGCACTACACTCAGTAACAGAGAGGTTAGTTGCCATGGTTTCTCTAGGAGCCCCAAGTGAAGTATTTTCCACGAAACTGTCGTAAACGATATTACTATCATCGGTTTTGGAGACTCATAAAAACCACTAAACTATTCGGTTGTAGATGGCGTTGTTACGGTGAATTCTCCATCGTCAAGCGCAGTGTAGTGTAGAAGGCTATCTCGCCAAAACCACCAAAAATGCAAACCACAAATGGAACGGCGATCTCGCCGAAACCACCAAAAATACAAACCGCAAATTTTCCCTGCCGATATTGTATTTATTCGTGGTCGCTAATGAAAGCGTTAATTGAAATGGCAACGAGACCTTCCGGTTTACCACGGTTTGCAGGCTTCGGACAAGGCTTACCGAAAAGTTACGAATTGGCTCTGCTTTACGGCGAGGGGAAGTGAAGACTCTTCAACACAGCGACTAAACCATGTAATAGTTTCGCGCCAATCTTTATATTCGATGACGTCATGCCCCCAGCAGATCGCTGTTCCATTTTTGGTTTGTATTTTTGGTGGTTTCGGCGAGATAGCCTTCTCGTCACGCCACAAGCAAGCTCGACGCTTCACCACAACATCGAAATATTTCATGTAATGCTAAGCAATTTAATGTTCAGATAGAGCGTCTGATGTTCTGCAACGTTATTCGACGAAACGCTACACCATTTGTGTGTACACCGTACCATTCGACATTACGCTAAGCCATTTCACGCAACGCTACACTGTTTGTATGTGCGCCATGCTATTCGTCATTGCGCGAAGCCATTTCACGCAACGCTACACCTTTTGTGTACAGTATTGCAAATGAGCACTAAGCTATTCGCAATTGAGCTAGTCCATTTCACAATTTCATGTTCCAAGTCGACAAAGACAACCAGACCGTTTATCGTTCAGCTAAACTATTCATGGTTAGGGTGTTCTGTTTCATGAAGGAAAACTAAACCGTCCATAATTTGGCTGTGCCATTCCTTAATTAGCTATGCTATCCTGCACCTGATCTATAGACCAGCTTTGTATTTGTTTATTTGGATCTATTTGACACCCTTGTATTCTTGGTGGTGACGGCCGCCCATAGTAGTGCATGTCGTGTGATCCTAGCGTCACATTACGTCATGCATATAATTTAAGCAGAGGATTTCCGGGATTAAAGAGAGAGCAGATTATGTGCTGGCGATGGTCGTTTACTGCTAATGAAATTAAATACTCTAATTACTTTAATGCTGTGCTATTCGACATTATGCTGAGCCATTCCACGCAACGCTACACCGTTGGTATGCGCGCTGTGCTATTCGACATTGCGCTGATCCATTTCACGCAAAGCTACACCGTATACGTGTACACCGCTGTACCATTCGACATTGCACTGAGCCATTTGACGCAACACTACACCATTTGTGTACTGTATTGCAAATGAGTGCTAAGCTATTCGCAATTGAGCGAGTCCATTTCACGATTTCATGTTCAAACTCGACATAGGCGACTAAACCGTTTATTATTTGGCTAAACTATTAATGTTCAGGGTTTTCTGTTTCATGAAGGAAAACTAAACCGTCTACAACTTGGCCATGCAATTCCTCTATTAGCTATTCTATCCTTAGACCAGCTTTGTATTTGCTGATCGATTTGACATCCTTGTATTCTTGGTGGTGACGGCCGCCCATAGTGGTGCATGTCGTGTGACTCCAGCGTCACATTACGTCATGCATATAATTTAAGCAGCGGATTTCCGGAATTAAAGAGAGAGCAGATCATGTGTTGGCGATGGTCGCTTACTGCTAATTACTTTAGTGTTCGTTCTCCACTTTACACGCAGTAAATTAATCGACAAGAAAATTCGACTAACAAGTTCGGCGCTCAACTTCTTCCCGACTACTACTACGTTAACTTCCTACAAGCGCGAGTTTTCAAGGGATATCCGCGACTGCAGCTACCTACAGCGACTCAGAATCCTGGCTAGCTTACTTCCCCGTTTTAATTAGGGTATTCTTTTCTTGTATTTTGCCTCGAATGGGAAATATCTTATCGCTCACCAGAAGAGGTGGCTACTGTCAAAGGCACGCTGAGAATCTGCAGCCACTACGGGAGCCAGACGAAGTAGAGCAACCAAATGAAATGACAAATGAGCTACCTCACGAAATTGGGCCTGGTAGTTCGTCAGATGAAAGTGTATCACTACTGCACGAAGTTAATAGTGAAGGTTCAGCAATTTTCACAAGAGGAGGTGGCTACCGTCTAGTGCACGCTGAAAATCTGCAGCAACCAGGGGAGCCAGCCGAAGTAGAGCAACCAACTGAAATGACAAATGAACTACCTCACGAAACAACAAGACGTTAATTGTGAAGGTTTGGCAATTTTAGATGGAGAGAACTACAACGGCTTTAAAGATTTGGATGTCAATGAGGCTAAGCTCCATCTTGAACGCGAACTACCTCGAGGCTACAAAATTACTAAAAGGATTGGACGGGGAGCCTTTGGCTGCTGCTTCCTAGTTGAGAAGCAAACTGACGAGCTACGAACTGAGGACCGTCATGTCGTCCTGAAAGTAATTCGTGGTAAATTTAAGCCAAGACGTCCCGTACTCTTCTATAAGACTTGCTCACTATACACCATTATGATAAGCTATAGAGCTAAGCCTCTGGCTCTCACTAACCTGAGGTTCATTGTAGGCATGCTAAAGTTTCTCCATACCAAACATGCAGAAGTCCATGGGGATCTTAATTCTGGCAATATGATGTACTTTATTAAAGACATGACAAGAGGAATATGGACTCCACAAGGGCGTTTTTGGCCCACGGAGAAAGTGAAAGAACTCCATCAAGCGTTACAAACTCATGTCATGTTTGACTTTATAGACCACTGGTTTTCCATGGAAGATGAGCAAATTGCATGCATCATTGATGCAGACATTGGTGGAAAGATTGGAGAAGCTAAGTTTGTTGTTAATCATCAGCACCATGACCCACGCAATGCTACCTGGCAGGTGTCAGATGATCTGATTGGACTCATGAACTGGATAGTTTTAAAATCTGGTCACAAAATCAAAAGCCATGCTTCTCAAGGAATTGAATATGCCATCAGCCTTGAGTCTTTGAAGGATCTGCATGCACATATTATTGACTTATACAGATATTTGGACCGCCGTTTTATTTTTGGTTTTATAGTAGATGCACCAGAGGAGCCATTCACATTAAAGCTGAAGCCTGGTAAGTGTTACCTGGACGAGCTGCTGGTGGGCAAATTCTTGCATTTTGAGTCATTCAAAGGGTCTTACTCTCTGTCATCTTTAACCAATACAGTCACTTCTTGTATTAAGTTGAAAGCCAGGGAAGTTATACAACCAGTACCAGTGGAACTAGAAGACCTTCGTGATGCATTCTTGAATATTGCATCAGGCAGGGATGGGTATCATACCACCATGACTACTGTACTTAACATACTTACCAGTCCTAGTCTGTCTGGAGGTGCTATTTTTGTGATTGTTGACAAGGAGCACAAAAATGATCTTAAGATATCGACATTAGACAATGACTGCCTCAACCAATTTTGTCAAATGGAGGCTAAAAGAGTAGACAACCCGTTTTTTCCACACCTCCTGCATGCTTATTGCACTCCTAGTACGTCAGATCGCTGGGAGCAGTCACTCCTTGATGACTTTGCTGCACATTGTGGAAAGAGCTTATTGGAAATGTCATCAGAGCTTAAAGCTTTGAAAGGACAGCCAAAGGATGGTGCATTTGTGCTTTCACACAGTGGTACAGTTCTGGCTGCTGCAGCAAAGCTAGAGTTCCTTTCACAACACTATCAACTTTGCAAAGCCAATGGGATGGGGTTTGGCACTCGCCATTCTGCTGCATTAGCCACTGCAGAATGGATGAGATCTAAGAATGTGAAAGGCGTTGTCTTCGTAAGATCTGATGCAGGCGATGTACACGTCATGTTTCCACATGGGAAAAACTGGAAAAGTGAGCCCCCACAGAACCCTTGGTTGGGTGAGGAAGGCCAGAAATTACCTCTGATACTTTGCATTGAAGATTGCAAGAAAGAGCAAAGCAAAGGCAGCTGAAAAGAGTAGAGAACAGAAATAACTCAATAAATTACTTGGTAACAGAAAACATCCATCAAGGTGATTAGATCTCTGCAAAAGTTAGACTTCAAGTGGTGCAAAAAGCTATCAGAAAAGAAAAGGCAGAAAAGTCTAATTTTGAAGACTGCTTAATTACTGGCATCAATCTCTTTAAACATATGTAGCAAGGAAAGAAATCTAGACCAAAAA